CTTAAAATTAGAACAATAGACTGAAAATAACTCCAAATTCATATGAAGTACGTATGATGTTAGTTTGACACTTTGAGTCTTTTAAATTCCTGTCAGGATAAATTTCTACTACTCTGGGTAAATGTTTTCTTTAAACTAAAACTCCTAAGTGAATTTAAAATTATCTTAAATTATGAATTCATCAAATTAATAGTAATAATTCTAACACCCTTGTTTAACATGCAAGGTTAATAGCCTAGTTTTTATTCTTATAAGACTTTTTTTAAGTAATCTCCATTGGTGGGAATGAAAAATCAAACACTAAATAAATAAACTAATATTCAAAAAAAAATTGTAGCAAAGTGAATTTTTGAACAAGATCATTTGTAGAACTGTGAGGTATCATTCTCTGTTAGTTCAAAGCAAGAAGTTTGTCTTAAACAGATATTAGTTCATGAAAAATCCCCAGAGTGCTGAAGCGAATAGAAGAAAAATAAAATAGTTTTGCAAACATTGCTTCTCACACCGACAATAAAACATATATTTAGCAAACTAGTACAAWTTTACAACAATTATATTGACGCCGAATTTGCTTTAGGAAACCAACAGATGCAGTAAAATRAATGGCGTACCACTTAGAGCAAGCAGTATTTGTTAAATTTCTCTTTTCTACTTAAATACGGTGTTTCTACACAGGAGTTCCTGTGAGCGAAKCCAGAAACTCATTTAATGCCATTACCTGATTCCGTTGTTTTGCTGTTTCACTGTTAGCGGTTCCGGTTCGGTCCGAGAGCAGCACCGAGAAGCGGACAGCAGCGGTATTTTTCTGCAGAGCTGAAATGCACCAACAYTTCTGCAGAACAAGCTGCGAGCCGCCATGTTTGTACTTTGTTTACCTTTCTGGTTCAACTTCCGGGTAACGTCACGTGACAGTGAGTCAACTCTGATTAGGATAAAAATAAATACAGCTACTGGAGATGTGAAACTAGACAATGCATACTGGTATTTTCTTCTATTCTTCTATTCTATTCTAGGCTGAAAACAGGGACATTTTTTCCTCATAAACAGGAAGTGAAGCTGATACTTCCGGTTAAATTTTAATATTGAGAAATTAACACTATATGATTAGCATTTGGAAATGGTATCAGAATTCAAATATTTAGGACTGTGGATAGACAAAACATATACATGGAAAACACACATAAAACATTTAGAAACAAAATGCAAAAAAGTAATAAATTTATTAAAGCTATAGCAGGAAACGACTGGGGAGCAGATAAGGAATCATTATTAAATATATACAGGGCATTAATGAGATCTGCTATAGACTATGGAAGTATTGTGTACGGAGCAGCAGCAAATACAACACTGCAAATAATAGATCGATTACAATATAGGGCATTAAGAGTATGTTCAGGAGCAATAAAGACCACTCCCATTAATGCATTGCTAGTAGGAAAATGGAGAGACACCACTAGATCTGAGAAGGATTAAACTAACATTATTAACATACTGGACTAAACTACAAGGAGGTAAGGAGGAAAACCCTGCTTCACAAGTCTTAA